AATTTTGTGGGAATATAAAGCCCTGATTCAGTAAAGCATTTGGGAATGCACTCAAATTCTACTTTAATTAATACCAACGTACATCACAGAAGCAGGTCCTAAGTATGCAAGAGAGGTTTATCTTTGAGATCTTTACAATATTCTTACATGTATTTTATGTTTTCCTCAATTCAATTAGACTTCAAGCAAATATTTATTAGAAAACAGTCACACTGGCACAATAAACATATGCTCCCTGGGGGACAAAGGACTTTTTTAAACAACTGTATTTTGAAAAATATAGATTGCTCGTAAAGCCTGTTTGGAGTCTGTCTGAAAAGTATCACATCCAATGGTGTTGACAAATGTAGCTTGGCTTGCCAAATAGGTCAGAAGATTGAAATTCTGGAATGTTCAGAATCTGGGTATTATTTATGCTTTTCTGTCCTCATGGCAAAGGAGAAAGAATACCGAGTTGAAAAATACAGAATAGATTTAGCAACATCCTTCTGAAATTTGTGGTACCCTAACCAAGATACTGACACGCTACTCTAAAACATGTTGGTTTTTTGCCTGCATGTGGCTAACGATCCCTCATGAAAATATTCAGAGAAAAATATCTTGTGTAATATTGGTATAATACTATTACCATGCTAATTCTGCTTCCATGACACTATACAACAGAAAATATTTGAAGGTTTCATGCAATTACAATTCTTGCTAAAGCTACTTCTGCCTGTTGAACTGGTTAACTAGTTTGCTGAGTGTTTTTTTATCACTCCAAAAGTACATTAAGTAATACTTAATATGTATTTTGTGAAAGTTAATTTGCAATCAAAATGCAAAGACTCTCTGGAGCTTATAATTTAAGATCTAAAATGACTGTGCTCATTTCATATCAGTAATACTTTTTGAATAATTGAAAGCATTTGAAAAATTGAAAGAATACACTTCACTGCTTCACTTTCATACACCTCATACAGAGCCAAACTGCTCCTTTTACAGGTGGCACAGAAGATGTAATTACTCCAAAGCAGATATTCCAGCATAATTGGATATTTTATGGCAAAACTATAACGAGCTTTCAAATGCCATAAACTCCAGCAGTGATGTGTATGTCCATCCATGCATCTGCTACTAACTTGGAGTTCATATTTTCTGACATACATTTCACTTTTTAAAAGCATTTAACAGGACCCAAATTTCATCTCCTAATTTCCAGGTGCATTTCCTTTTTAACCAAGTTCTCCCATCTCATCTTTGGCCACAACTTTCAGAAAAGATGCAATTCACAACTTTACACTTCCAATACAAATTTTTCATATATTCACATATTTAGAAAAGTCTTAGAAAAAATGTATTTGTGTTTATAAGTTGGACTCTCCTGTTTGGGCAGTATTTTATATGCGTAACAGGTGAAAGATGATCTGTAATCCAACTTGTAAACAACCAGGGCCAGCACAATATAAGAAACAAGACTGCAAGCATGACTGCTGGTGCCTCTTTTTCCTTCACGATGGCCTCAAAGTTAGACTGATGGCTCTCTGGGCTTTTTGCCAAAACCACACACCAGATTAAAATAGAAAGAAGGGAAATAGGCAACCTGGGGTCCAAAATTTAATTCTGACCTTATGTATAAGCACTACGGGAGGCTTGGGCAAAGCAGAATGTTAATCTACCATACAGGGGGGGCACAAGGAAACTAGGAAAAAAACTTATGAAAATAAGAATGTATAGAATCTCTATCATGCACATTTTGGTATTTTGAAATGATCGATCTTGAGAAATAACTAACTTTTCATGTATAAACATTATGTTATTCTCAGAAAGTAACTATCTCATGTGCATTTTAGTTATATGTCCACAGCTCGCTTTCTTTCAACATGAGATAAACTGTATTTTTTACGGCTTTAACCCACTTTATTCAAACCATGGACATTTCTGTTTCATAAATTTGTGGGTTTATGGATCTCATTAACTATGAAATACGGATAGCATATCAGAAAGCAGATTTGAAAGTGAAGGCTGAAAAGTTCTCTTCATCCTATCAGAAGAACAGGCTCTATCTGCATTTTCTCTCATACTTGACAGTGGAAGTTAAGTTTCCTTCTGCTAAAACATATTTGCTAATGGACCCCTTTATAGAAACAGAGCAATTTTTTTGATCAAATCAGTGTTTTTCACAGAACTGTTTACAAGGAGTAAACACTTTTCTATATTTAAAATTATAATATAGTGTTAAGCACAAAATTGCAAATGAGCAAACATTTTCATAAAATGCTGCAGATGCTGACTAAGTTTAACATAACTTCCTTGAAAGCTGTTATTAAGTCATTTCTAGGGATCACGTTTAACTTCTCAGTGGAGAAGAAAAAGTATGGTAACCAGATTAAAATCCTCTGTTTTCCTACTAGAAAACCCATATATTAGCTGTGTACTAGTGTAATTCACTGCACTTGGATCCTTCAACTTTAAACACAAATACCTAGAAAATTAAGCTGTTCAAAACCTATTGATACCCTATTTAACTGTTAAAATAACAGCATAACTCGATTTTGTAAAACTACTAAATAAACATAGTAATGAGTAAAAACTGTTAAAGCCATTCCGAGATGGAATCTTGAAAATGAGATGCTTGAATTACGATGCTCAGAAAGCTTGCTTTACTGATCATTATTTTTAGAATATTTATCTAAGATATTCCATTAGTTTAGTCTCCTGCCCTTCCAAGAGAAAATTCACAGGACATTGTCAAGTTCATCTACACACCACATTTCAGAAGCACAGAAACAGACAAGTTTTTAGTCTTTCCATAAAGTGAGATTAACCTCATACCAATCTTCAAATTGATGCTGGTGCTACCACAAAATTACAGGTGGCTTATACACAAAGAAAAAAAAAAAAGTATTTTTACTGCAATTAATACAACATAACATCCTCTCTTGATACAGCTTGACAAGTCAGAGACACATAACAAGCTAAGAAACAGTAACTATTTTCCACTGGGAGATCCAGGTCATCAAAACACAGGAAGGGAAGTTAATTTGAAGGCTACAGGGGAAAGTTTTGAAACTGTTAATTCACCTATTCACAACCTCAGA